AAAATTGTATCACGATAAATCCACGAACAATTGTTTCAAACTATGATTGGTTTTGCATAATTTTGAATATAATCGCTACAAATTCCAGCAAATACGGTATGTTTACAAAACCGATCTCAAAGCCGGTTCAAACATTTATCTTTAATACTTTTATGCAGATAGAGTGTATAGCTCCGAATCATTTCGCATCGGCGCCTTTTTGAATTTAAATTTTCTATTTTTCAAGTACAACGCCGTTTCACAATCGCACAAAAATAATTGTTCAACACATTTAATAGCATTAACCATCTTTTCTTCCTATTTATATTACATTTCAAAGTTAACTTTTGACTATAACACAAGTAACATAAAAATGATGAATTAATAAAAAACTTGTGTAACGACAGTTCAAACAAAAACTAATAGTGCGACAACACGTCCTCTCTTCCACGTAGCAAAGGTTACGTAATATTATAATACCACAATTTGTGTGTATATTTACACATCACAATCACCTGTGAAACTCATTACAAATCGTAGAATATTAGGTACGAAAACCAATTCTTTTAAAGCAAATACCATCAACACAAATTCGACCGTTACAATTTCGTTTCATACAGCTATTGTATAAAATCTCCCCAAAGTGAAAAATAATTCTCAGAATTTCAAATTGCGTAGTCGCAGCGTTGGTATATGTATTGCAATTTGATATCTCCTGAAAGACTAACAAATTAAAGGCAGAAAAATCGAATTTCTAAGTTTCGACAATTTACATGTGTACGCCATATTGCTAATTTTTACGAATAACCTGACCTCTTGGAGCTGATTTTTTTTTCTTTACCGTATACTCGGGTTCAGATTACTTCTGAAATATTCGAATATTTCAAAATTTTTCAGACGTCCTCCTACAAAATTGAAGATAGACATTTTTCCTTCAAATAAAGGTTGTTTTTCGTAATGAAGTCTTTCATTAAGGTCATGCACGTTAAAAAACTAGTAGTTTTCTGGCAATATTACGTTCACTATGTGTAATTTTAAAAAAATACTTAAAGAAGATTTTTTCAACGTCCCAAAATTTTGTTTTAACTGTTGGTAGTAATAGTGCGAAATGTACTCTAAGAATGTCATACACGTCATATCGCTCTAGTCTTTTGTTTGCTTTTTTTTTCAAAAATTACACAAATGTAATTTTTCAAAGATCTCTCACGCCGTTAATATGCACATTTCCACCAATTTGTAAACACTGTTGTATTTGCGAGTTAAAGTACTTCAAATGAATTCAAATAAAGTTTTTAAAAACTCAACAAATTCTGTGAAAAAGAGCTTTAAAATTCAAATTTACAGTAACTCCTAAGCGCCATTTTCTTCAAAACGGTCGCAATTTTTTCAAAGAAAATTGCAAATTAGTACTAGGTATTACTGTTCTTTAGTATTCATAAAATAACACTTCCTTTCTATTTATAGGATACCGAAAATTTAAGAATTTTTTGAAAGTACTTTTGGGCTGCAATAGGTGTCAGCTGACAAGAGTATGTGGCAAGCAGAGACCAGTAGTCGAGTATGTGGCAACCAGAGCAGTAAATAAGAAAATAATGCAGGAATGTCAGTGGCATTCTGTAGAACCACTTGTTATTTTTTTATAGTCATGACTCCTTTGCGGCACGCGTACGGTAAAGTAATGCTTTTCAATGAATGAACATTGAGTTATAGTTATGTCACGAATATTAGAAGCGCGAGCGTATCTCGGAGCAAGACGTGAGAAATGCCATTGCCTTACGAGTGTGTGGCGGCGGAGGCAGTGACAGGAGCTGTTGCTACCGGCGCGGCGCGGCGCGGCGACGTCTCGGCCGGGGTTTGCGCGTGCCAAGAAGAGCACCTGTGCGCTGGCGTCCCCGCTCTTCCCGCGCGTGCGACCTTGTCGGTGTGGCAAGGAGGGGGGACGGCTCCCCGCCCCGCGCCGCCCACTGCCGTCCTAGTCGGCTTATTTCTAGGCGCGTCCAAGTGCACTGAATGAGCCCGCGCAGACACCGGCCACCGCCGCTGCCTCGGCTCTCGCCGGAAGCTTCCATTGCGTAGGCTCCACTCTGAAGTCGGAAGAAGAGCAGATTCCGTCAGAAGAATATTGCAGTTGGCAATTACTCAGCATTATTAATACATTCCGAATTGTAGAGTTTAATGTGTATGTTAGTCTCCTGTTTCAAACTTACTGTAGTATGTACTCGGGCTGTTCTGTGATGATAATAATATCACTACAGAAATACAATTGCGCTGAAATGAAATGTCTCTCATAATGTCATTTTGCTTTCTCGCATATTGCTTATTGCGCAGTTTAGAGAAAGTATGGTAAAGATGCTGGGAAAACGGCTTTTTTTGTACAGAAAAATTCTCGTTGCCAGTCCCTAGACAAGAAAGCGGATAAAATTTGTTCATATTTATAGTAAATTACTTCCTTTAAAACGATTTGGAGTCAGAATTCACGTTTGATAGGTTCTTGAGAACGAAAAATTGAATTACGGCAAAAGTGTTGACTGTTCACTAGGTTACCCGCTAAAACGTAAATAAGCTTTTCACAAATATTGATATTTCATTATCGATCTGACTGATGTCACTGTCTCTTGAATTTGAATGGATATTTTAATTTTGCGAAGTATGTCGTATGAATCGTCAACATATGCATTTTTTTATTTTTTAAAAATGGCTCCAATTTTTTCTTTATATGTTTCCTCTATTAGATCAAAAGAAGCCTATCAAAATGGCGTAGATCGCATTTTGGATGAACTCTCTAATTTCTCGAAATTTTAAAATATTTTCTGCGTCTTCATACTACAGAAAAGAAGTATTCTTTCCTTAATGAAATCTGTTCGTCAAAACCAGATTCGCAAATGCCATGTTTCATATGTCTAAATTATGAATAATCTTCCGTGAAACATGCAATTTTTTAAACAATTATTTTCTCAAAAAAATGCTCCAATTTTTTTGTTTATTTATTTCCTCCTGTATAGCAAAGAGACGACCAGAATGGCCGAAGTCACTAAGACCGTGTAACGACTCTGCGCTTCGATCCGAAAGGTCGTGGGTTTGAAACCCGCTTTGGATATGGCTGTTTGTCTCTTGTCTCTCATGTATGTGTTGTTGCGGAGGGCGTCGCGTTGTGCTGACCACAAATCAGATGAGCCCGCGAGTGTGTTGGTGTCTAGTAAGGAGTAATGGGATTGGTATTGAATGGTAAGGAGTTTGGGATTGTCGAATTTCTGCTCATATAATAGCAACGATACGACGGCTGAAAATGTTGGTCGTCATGGATGAAACAATAAGGTTGCTTTATTGTTTTAATCTTACTACAGAAGAGGGATATGTTATACAAGTATTTCTTTTAGATAGACATTACGCAGTGATAACGCAGTTACGTATTTTCTGAATATATGTCACACACTGCCCACAGTGAGACGATGCTCAAGTGTTAAATTACTGTATTACATATATGCTAGAAAGTATTTGTAATGCATGGTGTAATAACAATTCTGATGTTTCTTTATGTTACGCGTGCATTAAAGGAATTGGAAAACTGACTTGTAATGATGTAGATAATATTCTAAAAAAAGGAAATAGATTTAGTGAAGATAATAGGGTTTTCGTATTTATAAGGAACACACCACTTTCACTTTCAAAAGGTATGATCGTTGATAATCGTATTAAAAAATTGGAAGGCTGTTCGGTGTAATCAAAGCAAGCTTGTGTGAAATAAATCTTAGTTTTCTGTATAATGTGCTAATGTGTAAAAGTCAGAAATGACTACTGTTATTACGGACTATGGAAATAAATGTAGATACGCACCAGAGGCTCTTCACATGAATTAGATTTTTTCAAGTTATAGCCGAAGTGTTCGTGGGGCATAAATTGCAATATTATAATATTACTTAACCGTTTCCAAAAGCATGGGCTGGTGTGGCGCCTCTAGTTAAATATTGCATAGGTCATTTATTTGATTGATTTTATTTTTCTCATGATGCCATTTGACATTTGCAAAACTTGTGAAACATGCCTTTCATAATGGAGATTTCCTATGATGTATTCCTCTTTTCGCATCAGTAAGGCACATAATATTTGTTGAATGTGACACCTCACTGATCGTGATTTTGTGAAATATAACGAACATGAACGTGCTTTGTGAATTGAAATAACATTGAATTTAAATAATTTGTTATTTTACGGTGGGGGGAAGAGTGAATGAAGGCTCGTGCGTGTCGGTGCGATTGCAACAGTGCACTAGTCTCGTTTTGCAATCCGAGCACCAACGCTAAGGAAAGCAGCACTTCCTCGATGGCAATTGGGCGATGGATTTCGCTGATGCCGATGGATCTGATGTGTGGGCGCGGGAGTTCCGAGCGCGGAGAAACTGGCGCAGTGAAAATCCCACGAGCGGCTCGGAGAAATGCGCTTCCGGGCTATGGGCGCTTCGCCCAGCGGCCGCCCGCCGCGCCACCAGCGCCCCCTGCGATCGCCTGCCTGTCCGCCTGCCTGCCTGCCTGCCGTCCCGCCTGTCTGCTTGTAAGCCCTCAAAGGCAGCGCGTTTGCGAGCCGCACTATGTACACACGTTATGGCTGTCAGCTAGCTGCTGCATTCGCAGATGATGTAGAGTGAGTTACAGAAAAGGGCGAAAAATTGTCACGAAAGTCGCTGAAACATGACCGCGCGAACGGGTATGAAAAGGGTTGTTTGTTGTGCAAGCGAAGGCATAGCGTGGCGAGAGTGAGCGTGAGCGAGAAGCGAAGCCGGTACTCGCGGAAGATAAGAGGCCGCGCCGCTGGTTACCTAGAGACCTGTTTTAACCCGGCCGTCGGCGCGGCAGGCACGGCGGCGCGGCCGGCCGGGGCGGGGCGGCGGCGCGGGTCCAGGCGGTGGTGGGGGGCGCGCGGCGCGGCGCGCGCGGCGTGGCATGGGGGGGGGGGGCCCCGGGTAGGGGGGGGGGGGCCGGGGCGGGCGCGGCGCGGCGCCAGTTGGTGCGGGCCGCCTGGCGCAGAAGGCCGGTGCGTGCTGTGCCTGTTCTGGGCGTTGAGCGCTGTGTGCCGTGCCGTGCCGTGCCTGGCGGGTCGGGGCGGGTGGCCGTGCGTGCGCCTGTGCGGAGAGGCGGTGCGGCGCCCGGCGCGCGTTTGAATGGGCGCAGTGCAGACGGCGCTTCCGCTCCTGCGTCGCGCACCCCGCGTGTGCCCTCCTTCCGCCCCCGCATCATGAACACGACTCCTAGCTCCGCGTGCGCTTGAAAACCCCCCCAACGCTCCGTCCTGTCGTTCGCGCTGCGCGGAACTGAGTGATACGAGGGACCAAAATCCGTCGTGACGTGAGTGTGCGTGGATGAAGTCCTCTCCCGGCGTGTGGACTGTGGAAGCTGACAAAGTGGACGCGTTCTCGCCCGCCCGCGCTGCGCACGCCGAGATGGACTTCCACGGGACGGGAGCGCCGCTGGCGGTGCCCGCGCCGCCGCCCGCGCTGCCGCTGCACCACCCCCACCACCACGTGGCCCCGGCGCACCACCTCAGCCAGCACCAGCTGCACCAGCTGCAGACGCTGGTGGCGGCGGACGAGTCGCAGCACCACGGCCCGCAGGCGCGCTGGTCGCAGTACCAACACCTCTGGAGGCAGCACCAGCTGCACGTCAACGGTAACCGCCCCCCTCACACCCACGCACCCACTACAAGCACAGGAATGAGAGGAAGGGCCCTCGCGATATCGGCCGCTTTCACTATCATTTATATGAACATTACTAACGCAATATATTACAAATTACACTTCATACAATAATTTCATCAGCATTTTTAGAAGACATAAGCATTCAGATTATATTTTATCATCCTGGAAAGGGAAAGTGGTTGAATTAATATCACTTCGAAAGATTGTTTCTCCGAAACCATTCATAAACATCAAATAACAATTATAACAACTAAGCTCACGGGATAAAGAACTAATATTACTACAACATAATACATCTTGACTATAGTTTCGCGTCAGTATGTTTTGCTACACGAACGTGTATGCAAAATCGATTGTATTTCCTGCCACGAGCGGAGTGGCAAAACGTGCGTCTGTCGAATTGCGTCTTCGCGTAGTCACGTGTTCCCGAAGTCAAGTGATTTGTGATCAAGGATGTAGACGCGGCGAATGAGAGATATCAGAGAAATAGAACGCCACGCGAAGAGGCGTTGCAGTGGCCTGTTCAGCAAGCAGGGGATTCTAAAATGCGTATCACATTGCGCTCCACGGGCGTTTAGCAGACGTATTGACGAGGATCAGGTGGGTGCATTGACTGCCGCAAATCTATCCGTGTTTAATAGATACTAAAATTGTACCACGTTAAGTGTACATACAACACACACTACGGAATATTTACACGTCGATGATACGTGATGCAATTCTACACAGTGATTCTGATTTTTTACTAATTGTTTATAAACTGTTTCCTCACTTGATTGGTAAAAGTTAACTGATTGAGACTGAAATTTAGAGAAACGCAGTTTGCAAGCCAAAATGATGTGTGATTGCGAGGAATAAAACAAATAATTATTTCGCGTAAAATGATTCTATAAAGTTGTAACGATTGTATTGACAACTCCATATTCTGCTTCTTAATAAGGCCCATTGTGTTTTTAATATATCTTACTTTATTAATTAAGCATGAAGGAGGTATCAAAGTATATACTTTGTGGTTATCCTTAATTAATAATCATTACGGATTACCACAATATTTCTGCTGCTCCCACGGAATTTATATCTAACTTTTGTTCTTATTCGATTATCTCTTGATCTTCATTGTCTTGTTGTTTCAATGATTTTTAAGCAACGTATTTTTCAATTTTGATTTGCAGAAACGTCTATTCCTAAAGCAGTTCTATGTATACATAGGAAAGTGTTTGTACGAGTTTCCTAACAGGTTTATTCTGCTTGACACAAAATATACACTGATTGGCTATTGGTTTTTGAAGACTTGCAATAGGCCTAAGAATCATAATGGACGGGCATGCGAGTTCTCTTGGAATCTGTACGAAGAAAAGTTAACTTCCTGAAGAACACTATGTGAACTAAAGAAACCAAGCTACTGAAAATTTGCGTAATATAAGCGACACTTTCTTTTCTACATTTCGCTTCCTCATATTCAGTGTGGTGTTGATGCAGACTTAAATATTAACTTGCTTTTAACTAATGTTTTATAATCTTTCTCTAATTTCGAGAATTTTCCCTTCTCAAGTTAATCAGAGTTGCCGTTATGATGTTCCGATTAATTCAATTTCATTTCCGAATACTCAGTATCTGATCATTTTAGAGAATTGGGAAATTGGGTTTGTGTGATGCGAAATGGAAAAGTTATGGAACTCGTAAATTATTTTTTTAATGAAATTAGTTGTGCGCCTTCGTTTTTTTCGTTTTGCAATTAAATGATTAAATGTGTTTTCGGTAATCGGGCGTTTTTGTGCTAAGTGGGGCAAGCTCCAGGAAGCGCCTGCCTGTTCGCGGTGGTAATTGATGCAGCTTAAGTATTAACTTTGCCTTTTAAGTAATGTTTTATAATCTTTCTCTAATTTCGAGAATTTTCCCTTCTCAGTTAATCAGAGTTGCCGGTTATGAATGTTCCGATTATTAAATTTCATTTCCGAATACTCAGTATCTAAATCATTTTAGAGAATTGGGGAAATTGGGTTGTGTTGAATGCTGAATGTGAAAGGTTTTTAGATGGAACTCGTAAATTATTTTTTAAAGAATATTAGTTGTGCGTCTCTTTTTTTCGGTTGCAAATTAAATGACTAACAGTTCGTAAATCGGGCGTTTTGAGCTAAGTGGGGCCAAGCTTTCCAGCGAAGGCGCCTTGTTTCGCACGCCGTGCCTTGCCTAAGCCCAAGCCTTGCGGCGGTCCCAGCGTCAAGGAGCGAGCCCGGGGGCGGCCCTTCGCCTCGCCCTCGCGGTGTCCGCTGCGCGGAGCCTCGCGCGGCCGCCCGCCTCCGGCGGGCGGGAGGCCCACTTTTACTTTCACAGCCCGACGCCCGCGCTCCGCCTTTCGCGAGCGCCCGGGCGGCTCGGCGCGGGACCGGTCCTTCGCCCGCCCCTTCCTCGCCCCCGCCCCGACACGGCGCGGCGCGGCGGACGCTTTTCAGGCGAGCGCGCCCTCTTCTGGTGGGGCGACAGCGCGTTGCTGGGCGATTCCCTGCTCCCGCGCTTACAAGAATATTCCTTGTTTATGGGAAAGGGGTGGTAAGAGAGAGAGAGAGAGAGAGAGAGAGAGAGAGAGAGAGAGAGAGAGAGAGAGAACTGTCTCGCTAAACCATCTCGGTCACCAAGCAGTAAATGTATTAAGAATGAAAGTTGCGGAAGGAGGGAATGGAATATACATTGGTTTAGTTGATTAGTGATTCCGGGCGAGTTAACTCCTAAGGTCATTAGTCCTGTAAGTGTAGTGATGTTTTTATCGCGGGGGATGGTGATGATTTTCCTAATCTAGATGGCGAGATCCGGCGCCGACCTACTGTCGGCTAGCGGGTTTTCCCTAAGCAGGTATTGATAAATTTATAATGATTATTTCATGTTTGGTACTATTGAAATTTCTGCCTTCTCGTTAATTCGTTGTGCAAGTGCACGTAAGGTTTGTTGTGAAATTGCAAATTTCCTGAAGGTCGTAATGAAAATTTTTTCCCATCTAGTCTTGAGATCTCAAGCCCCAAAACCGTCGTGTGTGAGGTGTCAAGGTGATGAATTCGATTGCTGGTCGTCAGGGAGACGCCGCGACCGGCGACGAAATGCGTTTCTTCACGAGGAAGCTCCGAGTGTGATGACACCGGTGCCTAGCACCGCGCCTCCCCACCGGCCACGAACCGCCAGCCACCCGAGCATGGGTTTTCAGGCGATGACTTACTCCGTTTCACTACTACATTTCCCTCGACCCCAAAGCCATCGACACCTCGTGACGTGGGGACACTTTCCGCGAGCTTTCCACCACTCCATAACCCGGTGACGTGTTACCTCGTTACCTGGTGGCACCGTGGCGAACTAGCAGTGCCCTGCGGCTGTTGCCACGTGGAGAGAAATCTCTGTCGGGCGCGACTCGTCTCCAGACGCCTGTTTCTACTTCCGCCGCTGAGAAGCCGGCGTTTGCGCTGGCGTTGGCCTGGGGTTTGTCTCTATCTCTTTCGTAGGGCGTTTTACTGCAGCCCTTGCCCTCACCCAGCACGACTTACCCGTCTGCCCCACCGTCACTCATTGCTGTGTACACACACACACACACACCAGCGCCTTCTCTTCGCAGGCAGAGATGTACACAGTGTTGTTTGTAGAACATTTTTTCGTAGTAATTATCCAATTCCGTCGCAGCCGCTACATCAGCGGAACATTTTTACGCACTCGGACTCGAGGCGCTGCTGCCGACCCGGAAGGACTCTGCGTGTCCGGAAAGGCGCGCGCCTTTTCTGCGAGGGGGGAAGGTGGAGGGGGAGGCACAGGTTCCCCCCCTCCCCCAACAAGTGGCGAGCGCCGCGCCCACACTTCTCCCCCTTCCCCTCCTCTCGCCCTCCACGCAGTACGTGCTCGACAGGCGTGGAACCTTTTAATCACGCGCATCAAAGCGGCCAGAAAGCTCGGTGTTCTCCAAAACGAACATTTTCGGCGGAAAACCGGTTGCACTAAATTTCCTCAAATAACAATTACATTCTTCATGATTTTTAATGGGAAAGAATTATCCTGCAGGGTTTTCGGTGCCGTAAGTGATGTCTTACTCATCCACTCTGCTTGTCTGCTCAAAACAAGCAGCTTCAGGGGAAAGCAGTCACATCAGCAAAATGCATCTCATAAAGATATTTTCGTGCGTAGAATACGGGTGACACATTTAAATGGCGACGTCACGCGCTGAGAACGAACGTAAGCTGTACTTGAAGCTTAACACTGCGCTTGAAACTATTACTCGCGCAGTTTTTCTTGAACGATGGATTGAAGAAATGCGGGTAGAATGGGGGTATTAGTTATGAAATCGACCACCAGATTTTATGGAGCAATGCCAATCTCTGGAGAATCAGTAATGCCTTCCCAACGTTCACAATAAATTGCGTTCTAACTTTCTCAGGAGTTTGTGGTATCTCCTGTGATAGATCTTTACCTACTTCAGACATTTCTTTCGATTTTTCGAGAAAATAACGAATAGAAGTTCTCGTCTTCAAAAGAAAATTGTTTCTATTTCGCGCCAGTGAAGATGTATTTAGAATGTTGTCATCAGTTGTCGCTGCGAGCCTTTGCCTTCATCTTTTTATTGTGCCAGAGAGGGGGAAGCAAGGTCATCGTTCAAGAAAAGTTGCGCGAGTAATACAACTTGCCGGAGCTAGTAACTCTTCATTAGACATTTGTAGTAAAAAATATCACGATGTAATAACTTGTACGTGCAAATTAGTTGACAAAATTAAAAAAATTAAATAATAAATCGCATTCATTTTTTTTGCTAATAACATAATTTTTCGTAGATAATAAATATGAATATACATATGTAACTAATGACAACAACTGCATTTTCAAGACACAGAAAGTTATTCAGGGTACGGGGGAAAATTATCAAGATACTTTTCAAAGCAATAAAAAAAATTCAAAACAAAATCAATGATGTTACACTTTCCTTATCTATTTAGTCTCGGCTAGCTTTTTGCTGTTGCCCTGCCCGTATCCCAACTCTCATCTATTGGCGCGTAATAGTTGTTATAGGTATTTTAAAAAAAGTG